GGACATGTATCAAATATTTATTAAAATATTCATTAAGATTGAAGAATATTTTTAATTTATAATTTAAGCCGTAGAAAATATACTTTTTATTTTATTTATAATCATATTATTTGTCAAACTATTTATCACATAGTATTAATATACTACACATTTTGCTCTATTCATAATTTTTAGTAAAAATATATATCATGTTTATTATAAATATTTTTATAAGTGTATTTTAACTTTAATAAAATATATACATTAGAATATAAAAAAAAAAAAGATAAATCTAGTGATTTATAAAAAGCACAAGTGTGAGAAACTTAAAATTATGAAGCGTCATCTTGTAGTCGGCCGCAAAAGCTTCCTCTTTCTCCATGTCGAACATGTAGTACTTCACGACTGTGAATCCGGCTGCACCAAAATTTTCCACAATCCTGGCCGTGAAAGCAAGCAAAGCCGGGCTGAATTTTTTAGAGGCGATCATGGCTGCGGGAGATTTTTGAGTTTTTTGTTTCGGATGAAAATAGAAATCGCGTAAACTAGTTTATTTAACGGTGAAAGTAGGAGCTAATAAGTGAGTTTTAACGGCGTGTGTTAGCCGGTAAATGACAACGAATTTTTGGTTTGTTAGATTAGTTGTGAGGCAGTAGGTGAGGAATCTTTAGGTTAATTTAAAAAAAATATTGATTTAAATTTTAAGTAATAGTCAATTAAGTTACTTAAGTAGCATTAGTTAAATACTAGTACAACACTCCTGTACTATACGGGTGCTTGTTAATTTTTTTCTTAAAATTTAATATTAATAAAGTTATATATAATTTTAATACTATTTAAAAATATTATTATTATATATTTTCAAAAGACATTTATTACTTGTGCGACTTATTGTGTTATATTATAATAAGTTTTTTAACTTATCTATTAATATATAATAAGGATTAACTTAATTCACTTTTATAAACACTTTCCCGCCAATTTCATTAATTATTGTCTAAAAATAGTAAATTAACAAAAATCAATGTAATTAATGTACATAATCTTTTTAGTCAAATATTTATGGTTATTACCTTTATTAGTTAATTTAAATTTAGGATGATTTAGTTTTATGGAAACAAATATGTGGGTATTATAGAAACTTTTGAAATCCTTAGTTAAAATATATAGACTTGATTGAACAATTATAGAGAATTAATCGTTAGTCTTTATATCTATATTATATTTCTGGTATTGAGTAAAACATAATAAAATAATACTTATATTATTTTTCATTCATCTTTTTTGTTGGCATAGTACAATTGCAAGATTATCTTTTTAAAAGTAATTATTTTTATAAATATGTTTTACAAAAGATACAACCAAAATTCCAAATCTCTGTTAAAACATAACAAAACAAAATTGTTCTCAATTTTTGGAATGAATTTGGCATAAAAAATGAGAACGATTGACAAAAAAAAAATAAAAAAAAATACTCCAAATCTACACTTTAACTTTAAGGTAATAATTTTCCTTATACTCGATATAAAATTAAACTTCACCAGATAATCCTATCTTTAGTATCTACCACAATATTACATATTTTCACTATAGTTTTTTTTCATGGTGGTAACATTCCGAAAATCAACAAAAAAAGAAGGAATGAGGTGTCTATGCAATTTACAATTACCAAGTGGAGAACAATCTTGGTAAGAATTAAGAAAAAATCATGGTAACCATTCGAGCTGACGAAATTAGGAATATTATCCGTGAACGTATTGAACAATACAATAGAGAAGTCAAGATTGTAAATACCGGTACCGTACTTCAAGTAGGCGATGGTATTGCTCGTATTCACGGTCTTGATGAAGTAATGGCGGGTGAATTGATTGAATTTGAAGAAGGTACAATAGGCATTGCTCTTAATTTGGAATCAAATAATGTTGGTGTTGTATTAATGGGTGGTGGTTTGATGATACAAGAAGGAAGCTCTGTAAAAGCAACAGGAAGAAATAATTTTGCATGGTAAAACAAAGAACTTTTTAATAATGTATGATTTTTCATGATTATCATTTTACATTACCTAACAAATGTTCTATGTATTATAACTTATTGATTAATAGCCTTCAATTATAAATTTTACCAAAATAAATACAGCCCGTGCATCGCACGGGGTACGTACTAGTAACATATAACTACTTTAAACATGAATATATTAATTGAGAAATAATTTTATTTTTCTAATTGATATTAATAAATAATTTTATTATATTTATACATATAAATATAATTTATGTACTTTATACATACAATATGAATGTCAATTCGAAAGTCATCAAAAAATGATTAATTTGATATATTATATATGTAAAACCGATAAGAAATTCAAAAGTTATCAACTTTTAAAATACATTTACAATTCAATGGTTTATAATAAGAAATGATATTAAAATACAATTAATAAATCTAAAATGATCATAAGTAATCAACATACTTATTGTAATCCAAACCTAATTATTTTTAATTAGAATTAAATTAAAATTTATCCAAGCCAAATGATGAAGCATGAAATATTGACACATAGGATCCTGAAGCATGCGAGCCTGCCACTTAGGCTTAGCATATTCGGGAATTATATATAGGGGGATTAGTCAATTAAATACTTAAACTAGTACGTATCTCGTACGATGCACGGAGGAGCTCATATTTTACACTCTATTAACCTCTCTTTACACGATACTTTTTATTTAAGTAATATTATTATATCTTAAATAATAGACATCTAACACACATTGCACAAAAATTGGTATATAATATGGTTAAATCACCATTTAACCCAATTTATTTATTTTTTTCAGTGGTATCCTATGTTGTATACAAATTATTCTTTTTTACCGAGTAACGAATTGAAAGATTCGTTCCCCGGGTCGATCTCACGAGGAAGGCTGTTCGGAATTTAATTATGATATCGATAACACATAAAAGCAAAGAAAATCCTAAACATACTAATCAGATAAGGGGGATGAATAATTATCAACTAAGAAATAAATAACAATGCAAAAAATTTAAATCTACCTAAGAGTATGGATGACACGAAGATGGAGAAGCTAGAGAATCGGGGATAATTAATTCAAGTTTTAGCAAAGTCGGGCATTCAATTGTTCAGTTCAAGATTGACACTCTTGCTTATACATCTAGAGGTTCGCTCCCAATAACTTTTCATAACAAGGGATTGAACATAAACGTACAAGCTCGAGCATACAATACGAGTCAACTATCCCAATCCCAATAACTTTTCGTAACAAGGGACGGGTCATCGACTCGCACGTATTTCAACCGAAAACCTATAGACTATTCAATTACGAAATCATCTACCTCATGTGAGTCTATTTCTACGACTTCTCCCCTTTCGGTTCTGAAAGTCGCTAATTTAACTAGAAGAGTATTAATCGACTAATCACATAGAATCAACAAAACCCTAACTCGACTAATCAATATTCAATTATTTCTAATTGCAAGATCGAAGTGTCACTCTTCGATTATATCAACAAATCAAGCATGAATTCATTAATTCCTAATCAATTCAACCCACACAAGCATGAACAAATCAAAGCCCGACAAATGCATGTTAAACAAGAACAATCATCCCCTATCCCTAGCAATCAGATTCAGCTACGTAAAATCGATTCAACACAATCAACCATTCTCTCCAAATCAAGCATTTTCAGGAATTGAATAAAAAGAGAAACTTACAATTAATCCCAAGTTCAAGTGTTGAATTCCAAATACAAGCTTAATCCCTAATTATTAACAAGAAGAAAAAAAAAGGGAAAAGAAGGGTGAAGAGAAGAGGAGAAGAGAGGAAGAGAAAAAAGAAGGAGGAAGAACAATGGAGGGAGGAGTCAATTTTTGGAGTTAGGGTTCCTCCCCCATCGAGCACCCTCCTCTCCTCTCTTCTATGGTGAAAAAGATGATAAAAAACCAAGTTTTTGGGTCTTGGGTTCGATCTAATATCATTTCCCCATTCAAAATCCATGAAAATCGCGTCAGTTACAAAACAGGCCTTAGCGCCGCTAAGGGGTTAGCGGCGCTAAGCCTTCTTAGCTGGTTGCATCTGTCCCGCTTAGCTTCCAAAACCCCGCTAACCACACAGGCCTTAGCGGCGCTAAGGCCTTAGCGGCGCTAAGGTCCCCGGGCAGCTTTGCATGACTTCACGGTTTGGGCTCGTTCGGGCTCGTCTGGTATCGGAATTCAATTCCGCTTTTTCCTACGCGTCGCTAACGAGCTCCTCTATTCAATTATGCTCTTGAAACCAATTTTTAGGGAAGAGAAACTTTGCCTAAAGCTCCTGACCTACACACCAAAAACAAAGAAAAACCGGAAAAACACACGGAAAACACAAGAAAAACCGAAATAGATCAAATCACACAATAAACTACAAAAACGAATAATACCAACAAAAAGACTCAATATTGGGGAAAAAGAAAGACAAAAGGACAACGAAAAACACAACAAAAATGGGACAAACATCCTATATACGATATATATGTTCCTAATATTTCTCAACATGTAAACTTAATTGTTGTATACCTGTCATTTTTTATCAACAAAGGTTTATGTAAATCTATCATGTAGTTTTATTCAATGTCCAACATTTGTCAAATTACTGATCAAGTTAGAAGATAAATCTAAATATTATCCAATTCAAGTAAATACCTCCCTTTTTTTAAAGTAATAGATTTTAAATATTTTTTGAATTCTATATATCATTTTTTATATTTACGAAGGTAAAAGAATTTTGAAATTAAGATATATATTTAAATAAAAATATATATTAAATTATAATTAATCAAAAACAATTTAAAAAATATTTATAATAAGAAATCTTATACTATTTAAATGAGTTTAATATCTTATAGCGTGGTAATATTAAAGGGGACTTGATATTATATAGAACAATATTTGTTTTAATCGGCCCAAATAACGCCGACACATTACATTACTTATACTAAGCCCATTAAAATTGAAATTTTATTAGCCCAAGACTGAATTTCCATCAACCATAAAAGAGGATCCGACGGTTGATTTGAGGGTTAGTATAAAACCCAATAAAATCGGAACTATCGGGCAAGAGCTTGCTCTCCTAATTTCGCCGCAAACATTTTTTTTTCGTTCATCTTTTTCATTTTTTTTTCTGTTCGAAATTTATTGTTTTTTTACAAAACCTGAAAATTAATTTCACTTTTAGGTTTGTTAGAGAGATTTATTGTATAAATTTTGTTCGAATACATGTATTTTGTCATATCAATCTTAGGTTGTTCTTCACATTTTTTTTAAACCTGCTCGAGTGAAGATTAGAATTCAGTTAAAATCTTTAAGTTTTTGATCGATTTTGTATTATTGTTTAACGATTATTATGATTCTTTAAAAACAATCATTTGTTTCTTTGCCTGGAAACAAAATTTTGTTTATTATCTTTTAGTTTTTTTATATGTTAGGGATTTTTATTTT